TTTTTGCTGTGATATACAGCATGTGTCCGAATGGGAATGCGTTGCGTACGGGATTTATATATGTGTGTGTGTGTGTGTGTGTGTGTGCGCCACACTCCACCTCCTAAGCAGATACCCGGGGAGAGTCGGGTAGCCTCATTGATTGGTGTTGATTCCATCTGGGCAGCGAGCAGCGACTGACAGTGGATTTAAGCCGCTGCGAAAGGCAACCATTAATCTTGGTCCTGTTTAAGCAGCGTGTATTAATTTATGTCATTTTTACTAAGTCAGCCAGGGAAGAGCGCTGGCCATTTTACGTTTGACTGTTGATGGGAGTTGGGTGGAGGAGGTGGCGTGCGGGCGGTGTGTGTGTGTGTGTGTGGGGGTCCTTTTATAGGACCCCAGCATGCTGCCAACACGCCACTTACATCGCGGTGGCAGCGCGCCAGAGAAATGAGATCCCACACCTCAGATTAAAGGTTATCAAGCGTCGGGGCGACCACTCCGATCTGGATGTGATGGTTACGAGTCTGATGCTGACTCGTCACTCAAACCGAAGGGGAGAAAAAACATGGCGGCCTACTTTCAATACTATGAAGTATGGAAAAAACAAGTTGGACGACAAAGCTGGAGCCCTGAACCCGTCAGCAATAAGATCTGCAGGTGTTTCCACGCCAACGATATGAGGACGTATACGCGTCCACCGGTCCTACTGCGGGAGGCAATTCCACCAGACTGTGGAAATCCAATCATATCCAAACAGCACCGGTAAGAAAAACAATGGCTGAGGCAATTGCAACAGCAATAATGTCACCAGAGCTGTTTTGTAGACACTAAAAGCTGCTCCAGAGACAAACATCTGATAAAAAAAAGAAGAAACTCCACTCCGCCATAGAGCAAATTTCCTCTCTAAAGCAATTTTATATTCGATAAGTGGGAAGGCATTCTTAGTGTAATGGATCTGAATATGATCTCTGTCAGAAAACTAAGAACACAGTCTTATATAAAAGCCCTGTTTGTAGAACGGCCAGTGCTGCTGCATCCGATGACCGGATTGAGAAGTGCAGGAAACTAAATATACATACATTGGTATTCTGTTGAATTGGTGGACTGATAAACCTTTGTCCGCCTGGATGAATGTAAAAAATACACGTAGAGCCGAAAATAGTTATCCGATAAACTAAGAAGGACGTGGAGACACACTAACTTGCATGTGTGTAGTTATCTCACCGGGTTTCAAATTGTGATTAATGAATTAAAAAACACACGCGCTCCTTTGCCATACGTGGATATGCAGAACATGACCACTCTGCAGCCAGATCTGTTATCATGGCTAATTACAACTCCCACCTCACATATACAGGCTGTAATTAGCCGCTTAAAACGTGATTAACACGTCTCAATTAGGCCAGTCAACATTTGCATAATATATTGGCGTCCTGAGTGAGTTTGCATCGGAGGAAAGGGAGCAGCACAGAAACACACACTCAAACCTGTGAATTGGGCGACTAAAGTTGGACACGGATCACTGTGAACGTTAGAAGACGCTCGCGATCACAACATCGCGGCTCAAGACTATTCACTAAAGGTATAAACGTGTATTGTTATTAGCTGGGAACATCTAAGTGGAGCAATAGTTTCCTTCAAAAACTCGCAAATCACAGCCCGGCTGAGAAAAGACTTTCTCAGGAAAACTACAAGTTATTTATTTCGAGTCATTTAAGGGAGAACAGAGAGAGTCCTGTTCGGCCTTATTTCCGTGGAAACTAAAACATGAGGGGGTGGGAGTGGGGGAGGGAGGGAGGGAGGGAGGGAGGGTGAACTGCTGCTTCGGCACTTCCAAGCCGACGACAGATATACAGTCTCAGCGCCGGGGAAACCAAGGACATAGCCATTAGTTTCAGGACAGCGCCACATTGGAAACTAATGCCTCCATCTGTCACCGGAGAGGAGAGGAGAGTAACAAAGAGCGGCAACACTAACCCCTGAACTCATCATGCGCCGCCATGTCAATTAAACACTGAAAAACAGCAGCACTGGGAGCCATAGTGACCAGTCCACCCACCGCTGCAAGGCAGCTCGACCAGCCGCCGCCATTAACGCTTAATGTGAATATCGGCGGAAATACCATAAAGAGTCATTTGACATTTTATCACCACGCGCCTTTAATTTGATATCAAGCCTGAAACTGGTAGAGCTTAAACCATCGGTTGATTAATGGGTGTGTTAATTGTCAGAAAACTCATTTGAAACATAATCAATTTAGTAATATTTGAAGCGAAATGACAAACTTTTGTTGTTTGTCCGTCATGTATGATTGCGATCGTTTTCATTTTTCTGGGGGGGGGGTGCCGTTTCGAAGTTGACTTTTTTCCCCCCACGTAATCAATAATTAAACTAATTGTTGGCTGGAACCCAACTAACAACACTGCTCTTTGAAGACAGTAATCCCCCAAAACTGGAACGTGACTAGAGACCACTGTGAATACCTAAAGCGTGTGCACGTGTCTAACTAGCAGGTCGAGCTTTGGGGGAGGAGGTGGGGAGGAGGGGGAGGGTGGGGGGGGCAGGAGGTACTGATTCAGCAGGCCTTCGGCTCTGATAAGTTCTACCGGCGTAACGCGTTATCCTTCTGATCACATTAGTCATGCAGGAGCTCACCATCTGACCCGGGCCTGCAGGGCCTGCTGACAGAGCGGCCCGACCAAACAGTCCCAGGCCCGCAGATAGAGAGACAGGGAGGGAGGGAGGGAGGGAGGGAGGGAGAGACGGTCGGCCTTGAAATCTGACACCCAGAAACACAGACTTGGTGTCTGGCTTCTCTTACTTAGTCAACCATACGTGCCGGCTCTCCTCGCCGTAATGGTTCCACACACACACGCAAAGACAAGCCGCCGACCCTCAGCGCCAAAGCGCTTCCCGGGCGCCGTAGAAACAATGATAATATTTTGTCCCTGGCGTCCATGGGGCCCGGTCGTCAGGGCGAACATGAGACACAACGCTGGCGAGTGAAAAGGAGCGTCGCTAAGTGGTAACGCGAACCCCCCCCCGGTTCCCTCTGAGCCCGCACGCCAACCTGAGCTTGTTTGAGCTTGCTAAAGACTCTCCTGCCGTGACACGGGCCCGACCCCGCCACAAACACACGCCAGGGCGGGGCGGGGTCATCAGTTAAGGCCTGCTGTGTCTGCTGTTGGCATGCAGCCCCCCCCCCCTCGCCTTGTCAGCTGCTCGCCAATGGACACCTCGCCGCTGCAACGTCCCATATCGCCGCTGTCACCGCCCGCACGCCAACCGCTGTTCGCCGCGAAGAGGTACACGCGACAAACGGCACGCGAGCTGAAGGAAATGCCGCCGCTCTTCAGCAAAAGGTCGAGTTGGAGGGTCCGCCTCAAACTACCCGAGCCCGCGCGCTCGTCTCTCCCGCGCCGCACTTTGTTTCTCGAAGACACTGTGAGACGACGTGAAGAAAAAGAATGGAGAGGCCGACTCCTTCGTGAGGGATACAGAAGAAGAAAAAAAAAAGACGTGACAAATTACAGGCCGTGGCGCGCTGGCGTACGCCGCACTCAGCACATTTGGCTGTAAATGCCACGCTGAAGGTTTGAGCCGTTTTCTCCGTCGCTGCAGCGAAAGGATTCTCGGCTCGCACGACGGGCCGAAGGACGAGCCGCCGAATCGGCGCTGCAGACGCAGACGCGGCGGCAGCCACCAGAGCTCTCACGCGCACTCCCCACGTGACTCGTTTGGGTTATTCTTAACTTTCAAATGCTCCGCTGTCTTCAAAACAACGCGGCTATTTGCGGCCCGGCTGATTTGTGGCTCGGAGCACGTTTTTCAAAACCACTCGGGGATTAGAAGCAGCGAAAGAAAAGCTGATTCAAAAGAAGAAAGAGGGAGAGAATATAAACTATGTTGAAATATGTTCACATCCAAACTTGGTCCTAATTTGCGGGCCGAGGGGGGGAGCCTCTCTCCCTCTCTCCCTCCTGCTCTCTCGTCACGAGCTCTGTCAAATCCCCCGGTTGCCAAGAAGGGTGGGAAGGGGGGAGAGCGGCAGGGGGGGGAAAGCCAGGAAAAGGTCCAAGTCACTTTGTTCTTCTTTTTGGAAAGGAACTCTGGTTGAACCCGGGGAGACGCCAGACAGTTTACAAAGAGCCAGGCATTACTCCCTCACTTGCCTGGCAACTCAGAAACAGGGCCCCAACCTGCTGTGGCTTCCTCCGCAGCGAGAGCACTTTAACCTTTGGATCTCCCGCTGCTTCCTTCCGCTTTTATGTTCTATACCTGTGCCAACACTCTCGACTCATGAGAATGAAATGCCAGCGAATGAGAAGAAAATCAAGGAAATGTTACGGGCCTCCATCGTGCCGACTCTGAGCGTGTTTTTATGTGCTGCCGCTGCCAATGCATGGATCGAGCGAGCGACTGATAGACCTCAAGACCCTCAAAGACCCTCGTGCTCGCAGATATTTTTTATATTTTACGCCGCTCGCCCCCCCCCCCCCCCCCCCCCCCGTCCCTCAGAGAACCTCCACGGGCTTTCATCACGTGAGGCGCTCTTCCTTTAATCTGCTCTTAAGTGAGTAATAATTCACACATTCCTTTTCGCCACTTTGAGCCACTTTGCAAACATAAACAGAAGATCCTCGCGACCCGCCTGTGCACTTTGAAAAAAAAAAACGCTCGCTTAGCAAACGCCATCAAACTCGGCCGAGTAAAAGAGACGTCGGCGGGGTGAGAGGGCCCTGCGCCCCCCAGAAAGGGCCAAATGTCGGCATGAAAAACCTCGAGTGACAGCCCCCCCCTCATCATGACACGAGGGAAAGACAATCACAAGTTATTAGGAAAATATTGTTTTATGCCCAATGCATTTACATTGGCTCAAGGAAGGAATGTCAGGATGGTTGTGGTTTTAAACAAAAAAATAGATGAAAGAGGTGAAGGTCTCGATAGCATCTGAAGTGCAGGCAAAAAATCCAGCAAACAAAACAAAAAAACAACGAAGAAGAAAAAAAACTCACCTGTTTTCTCTTTTATTTCACACAAGACGTTGAAGAGAGCCGGTTTCATTCTGTGGCAGTTCAGTGCATGTTTCCTAAACAGGGGACAGGACATCGCTTTGCAGATCAATAACAGAACAAGTGCAAAGGCTCACAAAGCCACGAAAAGACTGCAGCATTCTCAAATCACCAACATACCACAGATGGGATTACTTCCCTCACAACAAGCTATTCCTAAAATATATATGAATAATATTTAAACTAAACCCAGAGACTTTCAATTGAGTTGATTTTTTTTTTGTCACATGAAAACACAGTTAGTGACCATAAGAATAAAACGTGGATAAAACGTCAGTAACACTCAACCTGAACAAAGCCTCGGATCTATTTTGCTTTGTGTTATAATAATATAATTACTGATTAAAACTATACCGGGGAGAGAAACTCCTTTGTAACAAGCTATAAGTGTCTGTCTCACCACAAATAATCCCAACCTACATTAATAGTGCAAAGATTAGTAGTTTGATTAAAAAAATATTAACGCAAAAGTCCAATTAATCAAATATGAATCGTTTTTTATTTATTTTTTGTGTGGTATTTTTCATTGGCTTCACTGGGCGTAATTGTTTCCATTTAGATGTAATATACACACACACAGACACACACACACACATATATATATATAGGCTCACCTCGCCTGTGCTTCGTCTAAGCTTTGGTCTGTGATGGTCATGATTTGCTGTAATATGTCTCCGATGTCCTGCTTCCGTCCCTCTCCGTCCGTCCCCGCCGTGCCGTCCTGCATATGCTGCGCCAGGCCGGGGTGTCCGGCCATGCCCACCCCGTGGGAGTGCATCAACCGCGGCTGCTCGTCCATCATCGACCGCGGTGCCTGCTGGCTGCTTCGCCTCCAACTTTTCAATTTCGGAATATATCAAAGAGGAAGAAGAAGAGGAAGAAGAAAAATATCCTCGGAAATTCCTCCGCGTCTCTGTCAGCGCCGACACTCCTTCTTTTTCCTTGGCAAGCTTTTCTGGATTTGGGAGGAGGGAGATTGACAAACGCTCCCTCTCTCTCTCTCTCTCTCCCCCTCTCTCTCCCCCCCCGGTGTCTCTCACAGCTGCTTTTAGGTGAAATCGGATCGGAATCGCTGCTTTTCGGATTCAGCCGCTGCTGCGTCGCTCCCGTCGGGGGGAAAAACCCACAGGAATGAACATTTAAAAAAGGCTCCTAATCGGATTAAAAGTGGAGCGCGTCGCCCCCCCGCCGCCCCCCCCCCCTCCGCCCTCTCCCCTTCGAGTCCTCCGCCGCCGCGTCGTCCATGCGCTCGAGCGCTCAAGTCGCCTTTCAAAAGGTTCTGGGACACAAAGTGGCCACCAAGGGTTATTGTTCCGCTCGTGTCTGCCCGACTGACTCACAACCGGAGCGCGGAGGGAAAAGCCTCCGCCCCTCGAGCCGCGATTGGAGAAGAAGGAGCGCGCGAGTCTCACCTCGGTCCTCTGTGAACACGTCAATCATCCTGCTCGGGAAGGTGGGACGCTGCAATAAACATAAAGAGATGTGACCGGACCGGGTGGCTGCGCGGTGATGGATAGACGGTGAATATGTAGCCTAATAAATAATTGCGAGCGCGGTGGAGCTGTGACCCGACAGGACAGCGCGGGGCGGCTGCTGGAAGTCGCTCTGACACGCTGACTATATATTGTCCCGGGCTGAATATTTACATCCGTGCAATCAGTCAAAGGAATAATACATCACGACGAATGCATTAGTTTGTGTTATAAGCACTTTTGCAAGTATTTGTTTGTCATCACGGGACCACGAGCGTCAAAGCAAATGTGCTGATGAGTCGGTTTAACCTTTTTATAAACATCCTGACCCAAATATGTTCTGTAATTTATTAAAGCGGTTACGCCACCCATTTGATTTAGGTATTTTATGCTTGAAAAAACGTTTTGTTGGATGGGTATATATATATATATATATATATATATATATATATATATATATATTATGTATTGTTATAGACAACAATTAATTAATTGATATGACAAAAAACGTCAGTAGACTAATCAAAGATGAAAATAATTGATAGTTAACGCTTCAAACCAGTCTTGCAATTTGCACCCAATATGTATTTGTTACGGCATACAAATGATCTCCTGTTAACAAATCATGGACGTGCTGCAGTTCTGGTCTCTGCTCCGTCCAAATGCTTCCCTGCTTTTACTGGCTGGACGGAGATCGATCAGTCAGTTTTCTCATTACGCGCTGAATAGGGAGGCAGGCCAGTAATTGTCACAAGGGGCAGGGTGAGGTTGAGGGTAGTGGTGGTGATAATGTCTGACACTAAGGAGCTGCAAGACTGCACAGTGCAGCCCCGAGATGGAAGTCTGCAGTCCAACAGCCATTCTGCTTTATTTTATGCCCTATTTAACAGGGTCGTAATGACGGAGGCGTATCTATGTGGCGAAGACCTTCCGAAGGACCTGATGATTCAGTTGAAAACACGCACACGTATTTCTGACCCAATGAATCGTCTTTAAAAAACCTTGCATTTGAAAAGCACACACTGATGTCAGGTTGGTTCTCACAGTCCAATGTGAAGTAGACTATAACGGGATATTGTTGGTTGTTACAATTCATTCCACAGCAAATGACTACTGCTTGTTGATGCTTTTGAGAAAGTAAACACTGAATAGGATAAATAAGAACGTGTTTGTCGCTCTGATTGGTGTATTTCAGCAAAAAACAACATTTGAAGCCTTAATAAAAGAAATAAATCATCTGACATAGCATTAAAGGCAAATGTGTTGTTGCAACATTAATAATCCTGCAAATTAAAAAGAAAAAAATGGGTGCCGATTAGAATTGCAAATGAATTTTGCCGTAAAAACATTCATCTAAATATTATAGATGTTTTTCTCCAGAAGTTGCAGAGTTGTTTTTCGGAGGCTGAAAACGTTAATGCCATGCGCGTAGAATCCCCAATAGAAATGTGAACTAGTTGAGTTTGTTGGGCTGCGTTGTGTTTACCATCATGCACTCAGGCTGCTCCCATGAATATGGAGGAAGACAGAATGTTCCATAGATGATGTTACATTTGATCTAAAAATGGCTGCCTTTGTCTTTTTTTCTCCCACAAGCCATCTCAACTTGTAAGGACTTAATGGTGTGAAGTGTTTGGGTGATTTACACAATTTAACATCAATAAGCAGAATGAACCCCTTGATGAATGGTTTATAACACATTATATGTGACGAAAAACAGTCACTCACTTGGAATAAAAACAAGTCTATTGCTAAATGACTCACTTAATAAAAACCAACATTTTACATGCATTTATCTGGGCAGTGGTTTATTAAGCATTTATTAAGTGTTAAAACACGAACTGCTTGCAAATAAAAAATTGGATGGTATAAATAATGTGTTACCAGATATCTTATAATCTAATATAACCGCAATATTCAAATGGTAAAAAAACGATAACAAACAAATACTGACTTCACGACACATGTTCTCCTATCTGGTCCAGGGTCAAACTACTCCCCCCCCCCCACGGAGAGCTGCAGGTCGGAGCAGGTTAATTTATGTATGAGCTGGTAACACAACGAGGGAGAAAGCTGCGACTGCAAGCCACATCTCTCCAGGAAGTAACCTTGATGAAAAATTCAGTTGTTTGCAGCTCTTGGCGTCCCTCAGGCATGAATAAAGTTAGGCCCAGATAGAGAGAAAAGACCTGGGCTCAGCTTGAAACTACTCACGGACCCACTGCCGAAGAACAAACACATCGGCCGGCATTAGGAGATGGGCACGAATTAAACTTTAATCGCACCTCAGATAGATTAAGCGACAGGAGTCGAGTCAGCATTTCCAAGGCCAAGGCCCGGCCCCCCGCCTCCCGCCTCCTCCTGCTGCTTTGGACTCCGCATGGATTAAATACCCACAAGCTCCGGTTTCTTTGCACTTCAGATTAGCTTTTAAGCATATGAGGTGCTTCAAACAAACCTGAGGTAGAGAGCAAAACACGCAGCAGCCCGGCCATTAATGTGACGCTGTACGTAAATCATCCCGTTTAAAAGATTTTAGTATCACACCCCCATGAAGCTGCGAGGGACACGTTCTCTGTCCAAAGTGACGCAGCAAAGTTTGAGCTATCCTTCTAGTCTCGTATGCTTTATCCCTTAGTGTGAGTCACAGACAAACATGCTGGATACGCGCAGATACCAACAAAGCCAAGATGGATGAGATCTATTTTACGTTGCATGTTGGGGGACTTCCTGGTCTTGGTCCAGTGGTCGGCTCTTCACCCTTACAAGGCTGCCAGTGGTCTGGGCTTACAGCCTTGCCCCCCGGGGGGGTCGTGTTAGGGGAGCAGCGGGAAAACGAGGTTGCCGACGTCGTTGCCAAGAGCCTTTGTGTTTGTACACTTGGCTCAGAGTGAAACAAAGACAAACCTAAATAAAGTTCCCATTGGCCGATGGCCCGCGTCGGATTCCACGTGATCTCCGCTCTCTGCAGACGATGTGGTTCTGTGGAACGCACGCTGCAGAAGATAACAGACGGAATAACGGACGGATTCTTTTGGACATTTTATTGAACGACCAGGATCAAGTTCTGATGAAAGAGAGTCAGTTGAGATCATTCGTGAAGTTAAGAAGACCTGTTTGTCGTGCCACACTCGAAGAGATTCCACCCTTACCTTTTATTTATTATGTTGTAAAACGCTTTTCCTACTGTGACAACTGAAAATGTTTTAAAAAGGTCGATCTCCATAATGACACTGGAAAGCCTCTTTAAATTAGCCGTCGAGTCTAATTGATATTTCAGACGTTTTAACCCAAATGTGTAGTTTCAAAGCTGAAGCCTCCACAGGCGCGTGGATCCACTCATTCATTGTGAAGGAAACGCGATGTGTTAAGTTGGCGTAGAGACCCTGTAGTTTAGCTCTGGCCGTTTTCTCAGCAACTACCAGGCGATTATTTCTTCTTTTTTTAAATACGTTTTTGGGCCAACAGGTAAACACATTTTGCCTCCATCTGCGTCTTCATTTATGGAAATCATACGGCGGTTAAGTCGGAAGATTTAAAATGCATTTCCACCTTAAGCCCAGCAGGATTTTCCTGTATCTAGTTGCCAATGATCATTTTTACGGAGGATAAGCTGGATGTGCCTTTGTGCAGCCGAGGCCGGGTCAGGGTGAAGGATGACTGATATGAAGGGGTTGACCTGTCACATAGCATTTGACTTACTATCCTTGGAACAGGATAAAAGGGGAGCCAAATGTCAAGTGATACAAGTGATGCATCCTCACACACACACACACACACGCACGCACACACACACAGGGTTGAGGAGATGAATGTTTAATAATAAAACCCAGAAACCCACCAGCCATTCTGTGGATGGCACGTAAAAACAGTAAGCTTATCATTTCCGTGAAAATAATAGTCACCGGTGGCGCTCGCAGTTTGTGTCAGCCACAGGAATTCTGTGCCCTTTTTCCGTGAGTGTGTCTGTTCTTGCTGCAGGGCCCCTGTAAGCCCTCAGACCTCTTGGCAAAGCGTGGGCTGCGCCTGGTAGAAGGAGACGTGACGGATGCCGGAGCCTCGGAGCCCGCTAGCTGCTCCGTGAATTTTCCCAGACTCATTTGCATTCATAAAGAGCCTCGCTCCTTGTCACCGAGTGTTTTCTTTTTTAGTCCGCCTCCAAAAATCCTGCGTGACTCCTGGTGGGAGTGCGCCGGGAAAATCCGACTGTCAAAGACGACAAGATGAATGAATCCCCGTGTCAGACGAGCGTGCCTTCAACGATGACAGATGGAGGAGGGCTGTCCCTCCGTCGATCGCTAGGCTTCATTTTGAAATAAATAAATCTGAATTTCAACCCCTCCCATAATTACAAGTGTTGCTTTATTTGACAGCTCTCCGTGTCTGTTGATGGGAGTGTGTCTGTTGATGTGTGTGTGTGTGTGTGTGGTGAGTGGGTGGTGGCACTGACCAGGTGACAGCTTGATTTAATTCCACGTGGGAGTGACGGCACTGTGGTGCAGCGGTTTTCCGTTCTGACTTGTCATAGCTCTGTAATCAAGCGCTGATGCGCACGTGGAGCAGCAGGTGAACCTAAACATGCAATTAGGTGCTTTTCATTTACAAATTCCCCTCAGGTATCTGCTGCTAAAGCGTCCACGGGCAGACGGCTGCTCCACTTCACCATTGGGGAGCAGACGTTCTGAATGCGACCCTGCACTGTGACCTCATGTCAAAGAAAGGACCCTTGCACGGAAAACTGCTGCGACTGGAGGACCTCAAACATGAATTTCAACCTATTCTTTAATTCAACAACAACACTCAATCAACAACCACACAGATTCACTAAACCTCAAAGAACGGGGCACAAGTGGAGGATGATAAAAAAGGAGAACATCTGGTGAGCCGAGCACGGTGCCAGGATGAGACAAAGCCATGTGTCTGGCAAACACTGAACTACACACAAGCCGCGTGCAGACGCAAACATTTATTCATGCGTGCACACTCAAAGCCGCCTGT